TCTGAATGTCATTGTCCAGGGACACCTAGAATTCTCCTTCAGCCTGGGTCCCTGAATGACTCTATGGAACAGAGCTTCCTCCCCCACCCCCAACCCTTCTCCATTCGACTGGACTTACATGAGTGAGAAATGAACTTCTATCAAGTTAGAGAGTGCAGGGTTTATCTGTTACTGCAAGTATTTAGCTGCAAGTATTTCCTTAACTAATTACCTATATAGCTACCTATCTAGATCTATTTCAAAAACACCAGAAAGAAACCCACTGAAATACTAATCATTTTTTCAACGATAAACACGGTTGACATTTATCACCAGAAATTCGTTTAGATTTTTTGACATAGATTTTTTTAAAAACCAAAGAGGCCTGACTTCTCTCTGTCCTCTCCACCTCCGGTTAATGTCACCGGCCTTTTGTTCTATGCTCCTGGGGTCTCCCTTGAGTTTCCTTCTTCCATCCAACTCTCAGCCTCTACCTGAACCAGCTGCATATTCCTAGCTGACTGTGTGGTCTCTGTCAGGGAGGTAGACGGCAAGAGGTCTGAGGGATGCTGGGACTCTGAGACTACCTCTTAGGCCCCCACATCCAATCACCTGTACCCTGGGGTCAGGAGTCAGGTTCCATTTCTTGAAGTATAGTGTTGGGTATTTACACAGATTATTGAAGGAACAGAAAAAGGCGGGTGGGTGGTCTTCACTGTCTCTTGGATCTTGCCTGCTCTTTGTCTGTGTTAGAAGAAGGTTCTTCACATTCTTTTAGAAAGAATCTCACGTTTGCACACACTGCATTCCTCCTTTCTTTCTGCCCTTCCATCTTAGGGCGAAGTCCTTAGGCTTGAATCTGTTTCTCCCCAAGAGCAGGGCCAGCCCTGGAGGTCTGGTCTTAGACATTGAAGAGGTGGGAAAAACCCGTTTGTCGAAGTAATGGGAGACATGATTCTAGAAGTTCTAACTGGTGTCACTGGGCTTCATGATGTCCATGAGAAACCCAATCTCCTCCTGGCTGCAGGATGGAGGGCCAAGTGTATCCAACGCCATTGTGTCCGTGAACTCCTACTCTGCCTGACCCAGGGCCCTAAACTTGCTTTGCTGGAGGAAGCACTTGATGGTGATTTAGAAACCTTGGGATCTGTTTCTAGGTTAGCTGCTTGGTATAGTGATAAAAGCACACAACTTTAGAATGAGAAATTTCTAGGTTTGAATCCTGGTCCGTCTGTATCATGGGCATTAATAGCAACTACCTTTCTGGAAAAGATGGCCTGGCCAGTTACCTCAGGTCTTGTGTCTCCAAGTTTAACCCTTTGCGCACTGTTCCAACAGGTCTCACCAGCAGCCAGGCCCTAATTTATCTTTGCCTCAAGTGGGCCATGGGGGTACCATGGTTACTGCTGCCAGCTTCATGCAGTGGGATCACTTCTTCCCTGGAGGTGAGGGGACTGGGCAGGGTGGGCGGGAGGGAAGGGTTGTTTTCTGCTTAGAGAGGAGGTAGGCAGGATCCGAGCTGGAGGTCTGCCCAGGGCTTTGCAGCACTGGTGGTCACAGACCACACTTTAGCAAGCCACTAGAAACGTCCGACAGCAGGGAGGTATGAGCTAAATGCTTGGTGGTAAGGGTCTGGTCCTCAGACCGCTGAATGTCAAAGTCAGAGGAGAATTTAAGAGTCAGTCAAGACCTGGTTGAAAATGCATAACCTCAATCTCATCGTGAGGAAATATCTGACAAACACAAAATGAGGAACTTTCATTAAAGTGAAAAAAAAAGTGGGGGGCGGGGTCATAAAAGACAAAGAAACGCTTAGAAATGTTCCAAATTAAAAGAGCTGAAGACATATGACAACTAAATATAATACCTGACCCTTGACTGGATCCTCACTTAGAGAAAGAAATGCCAGAAAGAAATAAGTAACAACTTGGAATGCTGATGGTGGGTTAGATAAAAATGTTATATCGGTGTAAATTTACGAAGGGAACAACTTAACTGTAGTTCTGTAGGAGAATGCCCCCGTCTTAGAAAAGGGCTTAGGGATCAAGGGCCAAGATGTATGTAACTTCCCCTCACATGATTCAGGAAAAAAAAAAAAAAAAGTATGTACAGAGATGGCATAAATGATAAAGCAAATGGGTAAGATATTAATAATCTACAAAGGATATATGATGTCCCCCTATTAATCTACTATTGCTATTCCTCAAGTTTTTGAAGTCTGAAATTATTTCTAAATGAAAAGTTAAAAAAAAAAAAAACACACCAAAAAATTTAGCAGCAAAACTGGTTATTTCACACAAAATCCCATAGTGGAAAACTATGTCAAACAGGGACAAGCAGAGTTGTCTGGGGTGAAGCCAGCGTGGGGCCCAGCCTGCCTGTGTCCCTTTGGTGTCCCCTGGGGTGCCTCCGGGAACCCGGCGTGGAAACCTCTGAGTGCGTTCAGCCTCTATGTTCTTGGAAACGCAGCCGTTCTAGCACCCTAATATCCACTGGACACCCACACACATACTTGGTGGCATCTGATCCTCAAAATAGCACTGAAAAAGACCTTCCCAGCCGCATCTTAAAAGTGAGAAGATGGTGGCTCTGGAAAGGAGGTGCCTCTCGGGGCCTACCCCACTCAGGCGTTTTCTGTATTCCCTCCACCCCCTGCGCTGAAGGCGATGAAAGTTCAAACCCAGGCCTGCAAACAAATCCCAAAGCCCCTGCTCTTCTCTGCAGAACCAGCTTCCTCCCAGGTGAAGAAAGGGAGGCTCCAGGTGGGGCAGCCCTGGCCTGCCACGGGCAGTGGCGAGATTGGGAGCCACTGGACTCACACAGTCCAGCGCTCACCCAGCACCAGGAGGAGAACATGCTGTCTGTTCCTTGGTGAGAATCCCATCTGTTCCTGATGGGGAATTTTTATACAAAAGCCTTCCCCTCCCCTGAATCTCTGGGCTCAGGTTCTCCCGCCTGGGATCGGCTTCTGCATCAGCAGAGACCCAGCCCCGCTCCACCGAGGATGGGGAAACTCAGCCCTGTTCCGCTCCTTTCTTTCGCACCCGGTGTCGGGCATGCCCTCTCAAGGAACTGCCTTTCTTTTCCTTCTCTCAAAATTAGCCATTCCTCCCCCATTCCCTGCTCTCCGGGTTTTCATATGCAAATCCACTGTCAGCAAAATCATTGTGTTTGAAGTTACCGCCAGGAACTTCAAATCCCGGGAACGCTGAGCTTTCTGAGCAAACTGGGACTCTGTGAGAATGCAATTGCCTTTTTCAGGCCCAAAGCTTCTCCCTGCTACGTCTCAGGGCCTGTAGAGCCCTTGGCCGTGACTTCACCCCAAGTCCTAGCAGGACCCAGGAGAAGCGATTCCCCACACTGGAGGTTCAGCTCGGGAAGGTCTGTGAGGGGAGCTTTTCCAGGGTGAGGGGAACTTGCAGCGTCCTCCAGGTCCAGTCACCTACTAACAATGCTTTCTGTCGGCCTGCCCATCCCCAAGGGAGGTGGAGAGAACCCTTCTCGTTCTAAAACAGCCACCAATGAGCCTACTAGGTGCTGTGCATTGAGGTCATTTTACATCTCTTGTTTCCAATATTCACGAGTGACTTGACTGAGTGAGACTTCGGAGCCATCAGGAGTCTTAGTTTCCCCTTTTTGTAAAACAGCTTCCTCCCGTGAGGAAACTGGGCCTTTGGTTCAGTAAATCATTCATGGTCACACAGGTAAGTAAGTGACAAATCAAAAATTTGAACCCACGACCGTGTGGCTATACAGATAATGATCCTGCCACTCTCCGTTACCATGGCTGTCACGCACAGTTACACAGGTTGCTTACTGCACGAGGGCATCCAATTGAAAGGGGTGACTGGGGGATCCCATCCAGCCAGCACACTGTTTGCTAAGGTGGGCATCATGATGCAGCAATGCCTGTCCCTGTCGGCTTGGAGCAGTGTTGTGATAAATGGAATATAAATAGTTCCCAATGATCTCCTTCCTTACATGTGCACCCCTGGCAATGTGACTTTGCAGCTCTTCCCACCAAGAAAGGAAGTCTCGTTTCTCGCCCCTCGGTTCTGGGCTGCCCTTGCGACTAAACAAGTCAGTGAACTAAGTCAGTGAATCATGCCAGTTCAAGGGGTGCTCCTGGACCACCAGCTCCTGCCATGGGCCCGAGCCTGGGCTAACCCGCCAGAGAATGAGAAAGCCATGGCCCAGGCATTCCCATTTCAGACCCGTCAACAGCCAGACAATCACTCAATGTCTGAGCAAGGCCACCCTAGACCAGCTGGCCTCCAAACAACCTACTCTGGCCACAGAGCCACGAGATGACCCAGGTAGGCTCAGGCCTACCTGACCAGGCCAGCCTCACTAACTGGTGAGCAATACTACATGCTAACTGATTTAGGTGGCTGTTATGGGGTGAATTGGCTGCCTCCAAAATTCATATGTTGAAGTCTTAACCCTTAGGACCTTGGAATGTGACCTCATTCGGAAATAGAGTGGTTGCAGATATAATTAGTTAAGATGAGGTCACACCAGAGTAGGGCGGGCCCCTGATCCAATATGACCGATGCCTTTACAGAAAGGGAACACTTGGAGGCAGACATGCTCACGGGGGAAGTGTCATGTGAAGACTGGACTTGTGCTGCCACCAGCCAAGGAACTACCAGAAGCTGAGAGAGAGGCCTGGCACACATCATTCCCTACAGTCCTCAGAGGGGGCGCGACCCTGCTGACACCTTGCTTCCAACTTCCAGACTCCAGAACTGTGAGAGAATAAATTTCTGTTATTGAAGTCGCCTGATTTGTGGTACTTTGCTCCAGCCGCCCTGGGAAACTAATACAGCGCCTTTTCATAGTTCACACCAAGGCGCGGTATGGGCTGGCTTCCTTGCCTGCCGCCAGCCAACCACGGGCCTCCTCCTTCGCTCGTGTCTTCCCGAGGCTCTGGAGGCCATGGCAGGGAGGAGTCACAGACCCACACAACAACGCAGCCTGGAGAGAGCCCCCAGCCCAGCCCCCTCCGGCTGCCCGCCTACCTGGGTGGCCGAGGGCCATGGAGTCGTAGATGAGCTTACAGGTCTTGAGCAGGATGGAGATCTTCTTTTCGGGCGAGTAGGCCTTGTGCATGCTGGCAAACTTCTGCAGGATCTTCTCCATGACGGGCACCTCCGGCACGCTGGTGGTCACGCCCAGGTCGGTGGTGGTGGTGGCCAGGATCACCAGCTGGTTCTCCTTGAGCTGTTGCAGCGAGCCATCCTTGCTGTGGATCTCACGCAGGCACGAGTTGATGGCTTCTTTCAGGGGCTTCAGGACGCACTTGTACAAGGCGGACTCTACGATCGCTTCTGTAGGAGGGGGAGAATGGGAGGGTGAGGACATCAGCGGCAGGGATCCTGCCACCGGGGCTCGATGCCTGACCCCCATCTTCTGATCCCTGGGAAGACATCCTCATAGCCCAGTGGTTACACCCTGCAGTCTGACACCCGAGACAGTGTAGCACATTCAACAGAAAGCCGCTCTGAGAAGACGCTGGCGCAGAAGCCCTTGGGCTGATACATCGTATCCTAACCCCTTTCACAGAGCCTGGCACGGATGAAACTCTCACAGGGCCACCTACTAGAACATGATTTCAGAGGGCACTGTTCACATGGCAGCTGTGCAGTGTCCAACTTGTGCAGCCGTACGTGGAACGCCCGGGTGCCCAGGAAATGTTTGGCGGGATTGTTCTTGATGTCTCCCTCTCCATCTCCAAATCCACTCGACTCTTGTCTCAAGGATACAGTATATCCAGAGCCTGACTTCTCACCACTTCCAAGGCTACCCCCTTGGCTTGGGCTACCATCCTCTCTGGCTTCAGTTTTGTTAGAAGTCTCTTGCTCTGGCCCCTTCTAGCCCATTCTCAACACAGAAACCAGCGTAATCCTGTTATGGCATGTTTGACCGTGACATTCTTGTGCTCAGAACCCTCCAATGGCTCCCATCCCATGGACAATAGAAGCCAAAGTCTTCCCTGAGCCCTTCGAGGTCCCTCTGTGACCTGTCCCTGTGACCCCTCCCACTCACTATTGCTTGCATCCTTCCGCTCATGCTGCTCCAGACACACTGTCCCCCTTACAGCTCCACTACCTGCCAGGTCTACTCCTGTCTCAGGGCCTTTGCACCTGCTGTTCCTTTTGCCTGGAGAAGTCACTTCACAGCTATTCACATGGCTTATCTCTTCACTGTCCACATATCATCTTATCCAAGAGGTACCCTGATCATCTAGTGCAGGGGGCCCCAACCCCAGCAACTGTTAGGAACTGAACTGCGCAGAAGGAGGTGAGCGGCTAGCAGG